TGCAGGGCTATACTTCTTATACCTGGTTGAAGCCAGCCACTCTGCCGCTTCCCCTCCCCCATTGCCCTAATTTCATCTTCAGAGCAACCTAGAACATACTGAATGCTTTCTTCATGACTCTGACTTCAGGCATCCAAAGGATACTCCTCCTGCCCCTAGTGAATCTTTCTCCTATTTCCAGTTCTTCTTCAGGCTGCCAACTATTCTTAACTTTAGGCGGTATGCCCTCTGTTCAAGTGGCTGATGAAGGTGGACCTAGACCCCAGGCGTCCCCCCACATGGAAAGAGTAGACTCTCCCGTTATCTTCAATCTGTCTTCAAACCAGACCAGGTTGTCATCTCACTCGGATTTCCAGTCCTGCTTCTGGGAAGCCATATTTCCCACGTGCTATTTGCTTTTGTTTGTTTGTTTGTTTTGTTTTGTTTCTTAGATAAGCCACATAAGTGGAGGTATTTTCTGACCCAAGTGTGTTTTATGTTTCTGAAGCAAGTAAGGACCTTTAAAAGTTTTGCCATGTTAGATCTGCCCACTGCTGTGAATTTTTTTAAACACTTTTTTTAAAAAAGATTTATTATTTATTATGTATACAGTGTTCTGTCTGTCTGTATGCCTGCAGGCCAGAAGAAGGCAGCAGATCTCATTACAGATGGTTGTGAGCCACCATGTGGTTGCTGGGAATTGAACTCAGGACCTCTGGAAGAGCAGTCAGTGCTCTTAACCTCTGAGCCATCTCTCCAGCCCCCCACTGCTGTGAATTCTAAGGGCATTTTGTGGGGGAAGCTAATTGAATCACTCATCCTTTGATTGCCCTGTGTACTTTATGCCAGGTGTTCCCGTCTGTGTTGTTGTGAGAAATAGTCTCGGACTGAATGAGACAAGGATGCTGTCAGATTCTAGATCTTTCCACTGCACCATTCTGTTTGGCTCCGTCGACAGCACTTTAGAAGGTTGCTCTTCTAGTAAGTGATCTACTTGGGGTGCTTCTTGCAGGGGGTCTCAATTCTAAAAGCCACGAAGGTGAGTATGTCACCAGGATGTCAGCCTTCCATGGTCAGTTTGGAGCAGCATACCTGCCCGCATCTGGTGTGGGAGAATTGTCTGTAATCTGTCAATCATGTATTTCAATAAAACGCTGATTGGCCAGGCAGGAAGTATAGGCAGGTCAACCAGACAGGAAGTAGAGGCGGGGCAATGAGAACAGGAGAATTCTGGAAAACAGGAAGCTTCCTCTGCCACTCCTGCTCAGACCACCAAAGAGGCAGGATGTAACTTGCCCAGCTGAGAAAGGTACTGAGCCGTGTGGCTAACGTAGATAAGGATAATGGGGTAACATAAGTTATAAGAGCTAATAAGTAGCCTGACCTAATGGGCCAATCAGTTTATAATCTTATAGAGTCCTGTGTGTGATTTTCTTTGGGATATGCCGGGTGTGGGGTACTGGGCGGGACAAAAACCCCAACAAACCGGCCCCTCGTGTTACACACATCTTTTAGGTGGTCTGCAGCTGCCCCTGGACTAACCCTGGAGGAGGCTGGCAGGAGGAGGGGACCCCCTGTCTTACCACGCTACACCCATACTCTTACTAGATTGCTTTTTATCTTCTGTGCTGGGGCTGAAACTCAGGAATTTGCTCATGTGAGGCAAAGGCTCTTCCACTGAGAGAGTTACATCCCTGGATCCACTGTTTCCTTTTTATCCCAGACACTGGTGGCTTTATCCCAGACAACGTAGTCATGCTGATGGCGATTGGCTCCTGTACCTCATACCTTGTCACATACCCCAGCTTCCTGTTGCAGTCTGCAGAACCCCTCCAAGTCCCATTGTCCCCACAAGTGAACGCAGGCTCCCTTCGGGCTGACTTTTCAGAGCTGATTTTGCTCACTCTTTCCTCTCATGGTAAATGCCAGGCCTCCGTCTCCTCTTGTTTTACATTTTCTCCAGCATCCTCAGTAAGAATTTATCTGCTTTCTTTACAGGTGTGTGCGGGTCTCTGGATAATAGTGCGTGTGCTTGCACGCTCGGAGGCTTGGCTGGTATACTGCATCTGCTTACATGCTTGGTGCCTTCACAGCAGGCAGCGGCTGCGCTGTCCCTCTGTGGGTTAAAAATCCCTAGTTGGAATGCATTTTGCTCTTTGTTTGGCTTTTTAATTTTTTACTTTTTTTTTTTTAACCTTTTTCTGACTATGGAGTTCTAGCCGTGTTAGCTTCTTCCTGGGTTATTGGATCCAAATTAGGAAATTATAATTTTTAAATTGCATTAGTTTATTCATTATGTATGTGATGCACACAGCAGCATGTGGAGGCCAGAGGGTGACTCACGGGAGTTGGTTTTCTCCTATCATCGTGTGGATCCTGGAGGTCAAACTCAGGCTGCCAGGTTTGGCAGGAAACATCTTTGACTGGTAATCCTGATGGTCTGAAATTTACAATTTTTAATAAAAAATTTTCTTTTAACAAACAATTAGCTAGGAGAATATTTTTTCTACTAGCCATTTTTCCTTGCTTTGTTAATTAAGATTTTTACTTTGAGGTGGTAGAGTCCAGAAGTATGAATTTCATGTTTGCCATGCTCCTGCTTTTATTACGTGTAACTAACCTTTCCTCTAGACAGTTTTGCATCTGGTGGAGAGTTAAGCTGCCGTTAACGTCCTCTCTCTGACATTCAGCTTGGTGCTGCTTTTGCTGTGTCTTAGAACTCGGGTCCTCCGTGCCCTGGTTTGTGCCGTGCGCTTTTTCTGGCCTCGGTGGAGGCTTTTTCCTTCCATAATTTAATTTTTCAGAATTTAGAACTTTAGGTTCCAAGATTCAGGCCTCAGCAAACCCTCCTTGCTTTGCTCACTGTTTGCTAGGTGGCATCTTGTTTTCAGTGTGTGCTGTGTTGGGCCCTGTCTGCTGATACAGCATCTCTGTGGTTTTCAGTAATGAACGGCAAACATTTCCACCCATTAGTGCTGAGAAGCAAAGAAGAGGAGCCACCCGGGCGCTCAGCACAAATCTGGATGAGATAACTGTGCAGTAGATTTATATTTTACTCGGCCTGGTCAAGTGACTCACATGCAGGGGTTATGTATTTTCAATTGTTTGGCAATGATTTCTTCAATTTTTAATTTTTTTTAATTTGTTGCCACTTAAGACATGAATTTGACCCTGTACAGGGAGAGTTTCTAGAAATAGAGATGGTTCTGCTTTTTATTTTGAGCAGAAAGAATCCCTATAGATTATATTTAGATTGATATCATTAAATGAACATTTCAGATCATCCATGTGACTACTGGCCAGATCTGACAAACTGCTAACAAGCTTGAAGCAATGCAGATGAATTTTGATAAAGCCTCGCCGCAAAGCAAACGAACAGTCACCAGAACACGAGCCAAAAGGAAGGTTTTTTTGCTCGGCTTGTAGCTGAAGGGAAATGAAGGACCATGATTTGCAATTTTGGGCATTCCCGCTCCCACTGCAGGAGGAGCTTCAAAGCTAGCTTGGTATTTTCTGTCAGTCTTCAGTCCTCTATTCAGAAAAGCTACCAGTCTGTCCTAAGAAACTGGAACTGTCTTCTGTGCATAGGCTGATAATGACGACATATACTAACACTACTGAAATGTGACCTCAGAGTCGGAGGTGTTCATGGTAAATTATAAACGTCATCCACTTTCATGTTTAAGCTATAATTTGCATGGAAAACCCCCACGCCCTTTAGTTCCCAGTGCTACGAGTTTTGACAGCTCAGAGTCACGTGATTATCACCACAATTAAGACAGAATGAAGCCATTATTCACAAGATTCCCTTGTGCCCAGCTGAAGATGGCTCCTGTCCCCAACTCCCGCCTGGTGACCACCGGTCCATTTTTTGTGCCTGGACTTGCGTCGTCAAGGATGTTGGATGAGTGACATCATGGAGACATCTCTTTGAACTGGCTCCTTTTACTTGGGCCCATGCATCTGAGATTCCTTCATGTTACTGAGTAGGGTCCATTGTGTGGATGTACCCCATTTTGCTGACCTATTCATCAGCAGAAGAAGGTTTGCTTTCTTTTCTTTTTCTTTTTGATGGCTACAGATGAAACAGCAGGAGAGGATTGCTCAGGACATGCCAGCTTTATAGGAAAGCCTGGCAGCTTGTGACAGTCGCAGGGGCCCCCCCCTCAGCCCCGGACCCCTTCTTCCTGCTGTGTTCTACTGGTTTCCGTGGTGTACACTGTGGGACATCTCACATGCTTTTGCTGCCTTGACTGAGGTGTCTGTGTGAAACTTCTGTCTCTTTTAGAATTCAGATTGTTTTTTCACATTGAACCTTGATAGGTCTTTAATTATAATAGAAATTCTTTTTTTTTTAAAAGATTTGTTTTATTTATTATGTATACAGTGTTTTCTCTGCATGTTTGCCTGCGCCCCAGAAGAGGGCATCAGATCTCATTATACGTGGTTGTAAGCCACCCTGTGGTTACGGGAACTGAACGCAGGAACTCTTTAATGCTCTTAACTTCTGAGCCATCTCTCCCGCTCCTGCAGAATAAAAATTCTTCATCAGGTTTGATTTCCAATATTTTCCCCAGTCTGTGGTGTTTCTTTTTATCACTTAACAATATCCTTTGCAGGGCAGGAGTTTTGAATTTTGATAAAGTCAATATAAATAAGGTTTTTAAATAATTGAATTATGTTCTGGTGGGTGTTCATTAGGAAATCTTTGTCAAGAGCATAGGGCTTTTCCGGGTGTATTTAACTGGAGAAGTTTTATACCTTTTGTTTTGCATTTAGGTCTCTGGTTCACTTTGGGTTAATATTTGTTTATAGAGTGAGGTGTGGTTTAAAGGGTGTGCCTTTGCTGCTGGCTTCTTTCTCACCTGAGTTATTGTAATTTTACCTGTGTTGAAAACCAGCTGATGAGGCCAGGAGTACTGGTGCATACTGTAACCCCAGCAACTGGGGGGCTGAGGCAGGAGGGCTGTCTCAAGTTTAGGCTAGCCAAAATTGTTTTCTTTGTCGTTTTATGGTTTCAGGAGACAAATCTTGCACATATCAGATGTGATTATTTATGGAGCTCTCAGGATTTCCTTAGGCGTAGGGGACACTTCCCACTTCCAGCGGCAAATGCACTCCTAGCTGTGGGCTTTGAACACAGTTTTTATTCAGGTAAGGAAGCTCTCCTCTCGTCCTAGTTAGTTGAGTATTGTTTTCATGAATGGTGTCAGATGCTGTCAAATGCTGTGTGTGTGTCCCTTCTGTCACTATGTCATATCACTTTACAAGAGCTTCATGTATTAAGTCAGTCTTGTGCTCCTAGGATAGACCCCACTCAGTGATGGTGAGGCATTTCTGCATGCTCCTGCAGTTTTTGCATGCTCTAATGCTTAGCTGAGGATTGGGACTATAGTCATAAATGATGTTGCTTTGTAGCTTTCTTTTCTCATGATGATTTTGTCTGCTTTTGGGATTAGGGTGATTCAGATGTGCTTGGAAAGGTTCCTTTTTCCTTGATATACTTTTGTTATGTTTAATGCAACAGGGTTTCACTCCTCAACCCTGTGTCCCTGGAACTCTGCTTGGAGTCTGACTGGCCTTGAATTTCCAGTGATTCTGCTGTCTTTACCTCCGAAGGACTGCTATTAAAGGCATCAGCCACCACCCCTCCCCTTTTGATGTTTTTGATGTTGATTTTGTGGAATTTTTAAGGCATTGAAACTTTTAAGGCATTATTTTTTTAAACATTTTGTAAAATTCACTAGTGAAGCCATTTACATGTGCTTTCCTTGACCTTGAGAAATGCATCACGTTAATGATTGTATTTTAATATGCTACCCACTTTAATACTTTGCTTACTTACATCTCCTTAGAAACAGCTCAGATCCTGAAAGGCAAATTTTGTTAACAATTGACTGCTTGCAAAACTTTTAGGTTTGTCAGACCACGGAGTTATTTTTGATGGCCTCAGTTCTTTTGATCCGATTAAATTCAGTAATTGAACAAACCCACTCATTTAGCAGACATTTATTGTGCATCCATTATGGGTTAGATTTAGAAGGGAGATTTTGACATGAGGTGATGTTCTCATTTGTTGCTCCTGGAGAGATGTTAACTGAAGTATCTTTTTATCATCCACCCATCTGTCCATTCATCTATCTGTCTGTCTGTCCATCTGTCCATCCGTCCTATCTGCATACCTAGTTATATGCTGATAAAAACAAATGTTTCTAATCATTAAAAATATTTATTTGCTTGATGATGATTTATTTGGTAGATATGATTTTAATTTGTTCAACTCTTATTCTTGTAATCTGGTGTTTAATTATTTGTTCCTTTTGGGAAATTTGACTATTTCCACTCGATAATCTCATTGTTTGATAATATCCAAGAAATTATGTAAATTTTCTGTTCTCTTACAGCTTGTTACAGCTGACATTTATTCTTTCAATATTAATTAATATTAATTAAATTGTAATTTAGTAAAGAGGATTTGACCTCACTATTCTAATTAGTAGGTATTTATTCTTGGGAGAATTATTATCACCATGGAGCGAGGAAAATTAGCAGGAAAATAAGATGCAAAGAAACTTTGGTTATTGATGACATGGTAATTTCCTTCTGTACGTATTATTGTTACCATCCGTTAAACAAGCACCAAGGAGATTACTCTTAGGTAGATAAAAGGATCCCTTTCATATGTTAAAAGCAATTTAGCTGATGCCTAAACAGTTAATCATACTGTTCCCCACTTCAGAGAATTCAGAAGTACTTAGTCTGCGCGAAGTTCTTGAGGTAGAGAGAAGAGACATTCTGCCACTGCAGAGCTGCGAGAAACCTGCTGCAGGATGAATCGTTAATCAGTCTTCAAGGTCCAATTCTTCTTATTGGATTTCCTTCTTTGGGCCACTGACACATCCAGTGAAGGATCATGATTCTATACAATTAATTCCATGACTATAAGGACTGGGAGAAGAGAGGTTATTAATACTCAGGAGGCTTCTGTGCTCCAGTAAAACCATTAAGAAGGAACTAATGTGATAATAAAGTGAAAAGCAATTCAAAACTTATCAGCCTAATAAAGAGTATAACCAAATATCTTATAGCAATAAAAATCTCTGGAAATGGAACAGAGGAAAAAAGTCTTTCCCGCTCAGACTAACAGTGTTATGATGGGTTTGGCCTTTGTTAAATCAGCACGGTATCTTGAAGAGGATATTTGATTATCAGGTGACTTGTAACCATATTCAACAGAGAGTTATGGGTGGGGGTCAGTGTTTGGATGTGTGCCCTACACATACAAAGTCCAGCCACAGCACTGTCTCCTGCCTTTTCTGTGGTTCAGTTAGAAGCAATTCGTTTCACAGTGTGGGAGTGAGTTATACGTGCGTATTGAAATAACACCATTCTGCCAAGAAGCACAGAGTATTTCATCTATATGAAGGGAGTCGGATGTCAAGAAATGCTTTGTGGCAGATGGCAATATGCACAGGCTTCTCATCTTCCATTTTTACAACCCTGAGGGGAAGAGAGGAGAAGGTGATCGGCACCAGGCCGCTAACTCGTTCCTACAGACGCCTGGCTTTCCTTGAAGTGACTGGTGGCCATTCTGTCTCCAGCCTCTGCAGGAGTTACAGGGCATAGCCACCAGAAGCCATTAAGGGGCTGTCACGTGTGATCAGAGTCACAGCGAAGCCGGGCAGGTCCTGCTGTGACTTCCTCCTGTAAAACTCACGGGGCTCCTCTTTGGCATCTCTTTATTTCTTCTATTTCTCCTCCTTTCTCCTCTTCTTTTTACTTTGCTTTTGTGAGACAGGGTCTTACTATATAGCCCAGGCTGATCTAGAACTTTTTATGTAGACTAGGCTAGCCTTAAATTCACAAAGCTCTATCTGCCCCGTGCCCCCAGAATGCTGGGATTAGAGGTTTGCGCCACCATGGCCCTGTTCTAGCTTTTGTTCCTGTCTCCCACATCTCCCTTGTCCTTCCATGACTCACCTTTTGTATCTTCTGGATCCCAGTATCTCATGACGCTGGGGTCCCCTCTCCCACAAAAACAATGCTGATAAGAGGTGAATTTTTCCACCTTTCTATATCCAAGAATTACAGATTAGAATGAGTTTTAAGAAAATTCGATCTAATTTCTTCATGTTAAATAATAGGCAACGGAAAAAGTGGTGTGTTCAAGGTCATAGACCATTGTTGCGTTAGCACAGGGAAGCCTGTGGTCCCAGTGTTCCTTCATGTCTGCCTGGCTGGTTACAGCCAATGCCAGCGCATGCTCAAGCCTCTAAATTGCTTGGTGGAGGCATATAAAGCCAGAGAATGAAAGTCATGGCCCATTTCCCTAAAGCATCACCTGGAACTGCCTTGGGGAGGAAAGGATGTGTGGCAGCCAGTCAGTCGTTGCCTCTCTGCTTCCCTCCTCCCTACCCGCCTCTGCTCAGGCTGATGCTGCCCATTCTGAGGTTGCAAACACATTGCTGTTTTGCCAGCTGCTTCCCCATCGATCCTGCCAAGATGTATGCTGGACAGCGGCCGCAAGCCTGGCGTGGGAAGACCTGCCTTCTTATTTCTTCTTGCTGGCCCTGGAGTTCGCTGCTTCCTGGAGTCATCTTTTGGAAGCAGCGCTTACTTTCATGTTGCAGTTTCTCCACACGTCTGGAATTGCCTTGGCTCCTCACCTCCCAGTAATGCCAGCAGAGACCTCTTCCTCAGCTCTTGGGGCCCCTCCTCTCAGTTTTGGCTATTTCATAAGCCTAAACTCTGCTTTAGCTGCCCAGGTCTGATGTCTTAGTTACTCTCTGCTTTTTAAAGGAGATCAATATTTGACTGTCATCTCCTCATGTTAAATTCTTAGTTAAACAGTGGGCACACTTTGTTTCTGATCTGAGTGGCACATGTCCCTAGTGATAGAAACACCAATCAGTATCCTCCATCTTTTTAGAACAATCCTGATTATTTGCAGAGTATGCACAAAATGTATTACATATGAAAGAGGACAAGAACAGGAAGGAGCTGCAGACATCTTCGGCAGAGCGTCCTGCCTCCCTGTGGACACTGCCAGCAGCTGCTATGAGGGGCACCACAGTGGGAAGATTTGAGAGGGCGGGCTCAAGGCTTCTTCCGGGAGGGATATGAGGCAAGGCAGGGAACAGTCTGGGCCTTTGTTTCAGGAGATGGAGAAGGTACTTTGGCTGGGAGGATAATTTTTTTTAAATATTTATTTATTTGTTATGTATACAATATTCTTTGTGTATGCCTGCAGGCCAGAAAAGGACACCAGACCTCATTATAAATGATTGTGAGCCACCATGTGGTTGCCAGGAATTGAACTCAGGACCTTTGGAAGAGCCGGCAATGCTCTTAACCACTGAGCCATCCCTCCAGCCCGAGGATAATTTTTAATTAAAAATTTATTACATTTTATTTAGTGTGTGCATGTGTGTGCTCATATGTGTACGAGAGGCCCTGAGTGCCACAGTGTGTTTGTGGATGCCAGAGAACTTGGAGTGGTTTTGTTCCTGCCACCATGTGGGTCCCAGGAATTGAAGTGAGGTCATGCAGGTTTGTGGGCTTCTACCCACTGAGCCATGTCCATGGCCAGGGAGGATTATTTTAAATTGTCTTCTTTTTAATTGTCTTCTTGATTCTAGAGAATTTCATCCATGCATACAACGGAGTATGGTCATATCTACCTCTGTTTCCCCACTACAGCTCCTCCCATATTTCCTTCAACATTCCTTTTCCCAACTATTAATTTTTTATTTATGAATTTTATGTCTGAGCGACCTGTCTACATGAATGTCTGCATGCCAGCAGAGGGCATTGGGCCCCACTGTGGATGGTTGTGAGCCACCCTGTGGTGCTGGGAATTGCTCAGGACCCCTGGAAGAGCCGCCAGTGCCCTTAGCCGCTGAGCCATCTCTCCAGCCCCAATTCCCAAGTATTTTTTTTAAAAAGGTTAGGTTTTATGACCCACTAAGTCCAATCAGTGCTGTCCATACATGCATTGGTGTAAGGCCATCCTCTGGGGCACAAGAGGACAACCAATGACCACATTCTCAAAAAATAAATAAAAGAAGTGATTCTTCCTTCCCCTTAAACTATCAGTTGCCAGTATCTACTCAGGAGGGGATGAGGCCTGGAGATCATCTACCCCACCCATGCTAGGCTCTTTGGCAGGCTTGATCTTATGTAGGCAACTCTACTGTTACGAGTTCAAGATATGACTGCTGTGTTATGTCCAGGAGACAGCACTCGGCCCGTCTTCCTGCTCCATCTTCTTCCTGCTGCCTCTCCTGAGATGTTACCCCACCTTTGGCGTGTATAAGAATTAACCTAGAGATCTCAGCCCTTTGACCAGCCATGCCCTCTCTCCTATTGCCTGCTGCTCCTGCAAAAGGAAGCCTCTGCAGGCAGGGCTGGGAGGAGCCCAGGTCTGTGGTCTACATGTAAGTCTTTAGAAGGCACTCTGACAGCATGATCATTTAGCAAAATAACAATATTAGGTTCTGTCCTAAGGCCTTTGACTGAAAGGGTAATTTTTAACAGCTCTAACTTCTACTGTGAGTAAGTCAGATTGTATTTTGGAAGATTAAAAAAAAAAATACGTGACTTCAAACAGAGCTGCTAACTCATCATTAGAACATGGTTATGGATTGGTAGCAGAAACCTGTTTTCTTGGACTTGATAAAATGTGAATAGAAAGCCCTAGACCTAGCTGAGTTGCATGAATCAGAGCTTTAACCAGCCCTTGGAGATGGCACAAGTCACAAATTGTGAGGCGAGCCAGAACTAAGCTAGCAGCTGCGGTTCATTCTGTTCACTGAGCAGTGCAGCTTCTGTCTCGCATTGGAATACCCATCTGCATGCGCTCGGCAGGCTGGCTGAGTCTCGTTTGCAACTCCCGGAGAAGACATAACCACGGAGCGTTATCCTTCATGAGTGTGTGCCCAATGTTTTTGAAGTAAATAAGGCAGGAGCACAGAGAGAAACGTTGTTCTTGACAATATAACAAGTTCTCGGTTTTCATAATGCATTTAGCAACAGAGCTGAGATGGTCTAGTGCTTCTTGGGTCCTGAACATCATATTAACTCAGGTACAAGTGCATACAGGGCTTTCTATACTCCACAGGGAAAACCGGTATTTACACAGGGAACACAGTATTTACACCAAGAAGGGCTCTAGTAATGGTGATAGCAATATAGTACCAGCAATCGAGTACAATGAAGATAGGCTCCACTGGTTGAGTTTGGGCCACACCCTGGGTGATAAAGAATGTAGGTGTGATGTTCTGTTGGTAAATGAGTAAAATCACCTCCATGCAGACTACAAAGGCAATATTTGGGAGAAAAGATTTTCTGAAAACCTTCAGTGTTGTACTGAAGAGAAAAAGACCAACTGCCCATCGCTGACTGAAGTCAAGCGGGAACTGAAGAGAGTCTATGACAGGATAATTATCTACATGGAAACACCAGACATCTTTGTACTGGCTGAAAACTTCCTTCCTTCACCACGGAAACACAGAACGGGTCCTTTGACATGCCGAAGCAGAGCCGACCTCTCCAGATACTGATGATTCCATATCTTCCAAAATAACCAAGGAGAGAATTATTTCCTGAGACAACAAAACCTAGAATGGATTCACTTACCAAAGTGTAGTTTTAAAGATAAAAGCCATGCTTTCCCACACATACATGTTTCATGCTACAAGGCTAGGTCCACGGGATGCTCCTGAGTGGATCTGTAGTGAAGAAAACTGTCCTTCTTCATACACATCTTTGTCAACAGTGTCACAACACATTTATTTTTTTCATGTAGCATCTCCTAAAATTTAGTAGGACTCGAATGTTGAGACCATGCTGGGAAATGGCCTGAGATTCTCACGCATATAGAAGTATAGATGAAGATAGGTATGCCCTTTTAGATCTAGACTTGTGGTAAGTTTGTTTGGAGCTTATCCCAAAGCACCTTGGTTTAACACAAGCCACCAAAAAGAATGCTAGACACACAGACTGTTTATCTATCCTATCCTGATACTGTAATATCCAGGGACAAGGTAAGGCTGGGCTTCCCTATCACAATTAGACATGATCATGTGACTTGAGTTGGCCAATAAAGTGTCATCAGAAGCCCGGAAGGTCTAGGATACCAATTACAGTCACATTTTTCTGACTATAATAGTTCCGATGGTGGGGGCTTTGTCAGATGGACATGGAGCCATCTGCTCCTTCCCACCTCCAGCTAATCCATAATGAGGATGTCACTTGGGAAAGAAATCATTATTTATTTTTCCAGAATTTGCTTCTATTCTGACCAGTTCATACACTGCAAGTGGAAGCAGGGTAGTAACATCATTAGAGAAGCATAATTTGTCTTTGGTTTGAAGGACAAGTTCCAGGCTGTGGAGAGAACATTGTACAAAGTCTTGGAGGCTAACAAGTGACCCAGCAGCATGAGTTTTGGTTAAACTGCTGCCCCCAGTGACTCAGAAGGCAGATTCTATATGAATTGATAGCTATAGGGAATGAGGAGGGAAATGCAGTTGTAGTAATGTGTTTTGGTTTCTATTGGTTGACTTTGACAAGGTGTTTGTAAGGAACAAGGTCACAAAAGAATTAGCTGGGTTCCAAGCAGGAATTAATGGAAAGTGTGAAGCATCACAGTGTCAGAAAGGCTGACTGATTTCAGGTGCCAAACAGTAGGGGCTAAAACTGGAAGAGCCTCTTGGTAATAAAAATATATTAAAGCTGAACCTTGCAGCAAAGGGCGTGACCTGTACATCCACCTTCAAAAACCACTCACCTGATTAGACTTCATTTGCCATCTCATCATTATCAAAGCCTGTGAAGGGACTAAAGTGTAGCAGAGTAAAGGCCAAGGAAGTCTTTGAAGAAAATTGTAGGTGTGGTTGTTAGCACATGAACTGTCATCAGGCAGATACAAATCAGATGGGGTCACTGCAAGAGGTGTCCTACAAAGGGGCCACCAGATAGAAAGAAAAAAGTGTAAGAGACTTGAAATGATCTAAGGACCAGAAACAATTTGGAGCAGGATGTGAAATGGGAAAGTTGGGCAGCCTTCAAGCTAAGGGGTTCTCGGTCACCTAGTTTACAGTGCCGTGAAGTGTAGCAGGAAAAGGAGCCAGAGACCGCAGAGCAGTATGGGAAATGTGGCTTCCCTCACTGAGCAGTTCCCTAAGTGGACCTCACATTGTTTGTTCAGGGACTTTCAGAGATGCTTACACTCAGTGTTGCTGTCCACCCCTCTTCCCTCTTCTTAAATAGGAGTGCTTCTTGGAGGTATATGTTTCCTATTTTGCCTTTTCAAATGGGGCGTATAGATAGTAGATAACTTGTCTTCTTAGTTCCTGGTCTCCAGAATAGGTCGCCATCCAGGCCCTATCACCTCTTGCTAAGGACTACATTGCATCCTTCAGAATTTATGTTGAAGCCTTAATCCCCAGTGGGATTAAATTGAGAAACAGTGATTTTAAGAAGGTATTTAGGGTTATATGAGGTCACAAGACTAGGTCTTAGTCCAATAAGATTGGTGACTTTATAAGAAGATAAAAGCAACAGAGGAAAGCCTACATGTCACATGACAATACTGTTGTAAGATAATCTCTAAACAGGTACAGTATGTTTAAAAATGTGCTTAGGTGCTAAAGAAAAGAAAGTGGATATAGACAGCCATAAAAATAGTTTAGAAATAATAAAATAAAGTCTACTCAGTTGGTAGAACCTGGGATTCTTAATCGCAGGGTCATGGGTTCAAGCCCCATGTTGGGTACCAATTGTAGCAGAACTCTTTTGTCAGGCCTTCCAGCCTGCAAATGGTGACTCAGAGACTTAGTATTAATTATGAAAACTTGGCCTTTAGCTTGGACTTTTTCCTAATTAGCTCTTAGAACTTAAATTAACCTGTCTTTATTAATCTATATTCTGTCATATGGATTTTACCTTTTCTCATTCTGTATGTTTGACTTGTTCTGCATCTTGCTGGTGTCTCCATTTCCTGCCAGAGTCCTCTCTCTCCGTGCCTATTCTCTCCTGTCTAGCTATTGATCATTTGACTCTTTATTACACCAATCAGAAGGCACCTGAGGCAGAGACGTATCCTTAAAGTATACAAAAAATTATTCTGCAAGAGAATATAATGAGGAGATGGCTACCCGCAAGCTAGGGAGATGACACAGGAGGAATTAAGC